CTGAAGCTCTGTCTGACATACTTTGGACATGTTGCAAGGTGAGATCAGTCCTTACAGAGGGATGTCATGGTTGGGAGGGTGGAGCGACATCACAGGAGAGGAAGTCTCTTGATAAGATGGGTTGATTCCATCACTGGGGTAAAAGGGATAGGTGTGTCAGAAACAATAAGATTGGCAAGGGTTAGAGCAGGGTTTAGGGCTGATGTACATAGGGTCACTACGAGTCACAGGAGACTTGACAGCATATAACAACATCATCATCATATTTGTGGAAGAAATAATTGGAAAAACTCATTATGAGCAGTAAAAATTAGGTCGGGGGTGGACTATGGGTCAGACCATTAATTACGCATATGTAAGTTCAAATTAAGGCTGAAGAAAACGAAAATAAGTCCACAAGAACTAAGATAGTTTCTTGAATCAGTTTCATCTGAATTTCAAGATCATTTTGGGAATAGGTTTGAGGCATTAAACAGCAAAGATTGAAGATGTTGTGGGAAGATATGAAGGATATCATCCACAAAGAAAGCAAAAGGTCATTACAAAACATAGGAAAAAGAAAAAAAATCTAGTATGAATGGCTTAAGAGACTCTAAAAATTGTACTGGAATATCAAGAAGCCAAAACAAAGGGAAAAACGTCGAAGTAAAAGAGCTAAACAGGAGATTTCAAAGGGCAGGTCAAGAGGACAAAGAAAAGTATTAAAATGGAATGTGCAGAGAGCTGGAATTGGAAAATAACAAGGGAAGAACTCGCTCTGCATTTCTCAAGCTGAGAAAACTGATAAACAAATTGAAACCTTAAGTCACAATACTGGAAAATATAGGGGCAATATACTGAATGACCCAGAAATAATCAAAAGAAGATGGAGGGAATACACAGAATCACTGTACCAAAAAGAACTTATTGACACTGAAAAATTTCATGAAGTATCATATGAGCAGGAGCCAATGGTAATAATGAAGGAGGAAATGGAAGTTGCATTGAAGGTACTAGAAAAAATATGGCCCCAGGAATAGATGTGATACCAACTGACTTGTTTTAAATACAGATTACTTAGATTTGGCAGTTATTTCTCCTTTCTAAGTTGGGCAATTCAATTATATAATACGACTACGTCTTTCCTAACTTTGTTTTCAACCATATTCTAAACATACAGAAATAGAGGATTGTATCACATCAACAGATTCAATTTGAGATTGAGGAAGAACTATTTTTGAGTATCACTAATACGATACTCATAATTTCATAGCTCCTTTCAATGTAACGTGCCTCAGACAACTGGACATGTTACAGTTCAATTAACTAATTCTAACAGCAAAGGTTACAGAAGTAATTGGTTGATAACTTTAGATGAAGGAGCAAAAAAAATACACTTTATTCTGCCTAAAGAACAATACAGGTAAAACAAACTTAATTTGGTCAAACAATTTAGCACAGTCACAATATAAGGAAATACTGTGTAAACCTCAAAGAGTTGATCAGCTCAAAGGTAATAATCTTATTATGGCATTGTCATTTAAAGAGTTTTAGGAAGTTCAAGAATCTACATGTGCCTGTGCTCAGTGCATCAAAGTTAAATTTATCTGATTCTTATGCAATCCAGGAGGTAATCCAATGGAGCTACAATCATGTCAACCTCTGTTTGATCTGCATATTAGGCTCCAGAACCCACTAATGCTTACCAGATTTAGAACCAATGCCCTGTTCCTAGATCTTAAGAAATCAGTACTATGTCTTGATACTTCCATGACAGAGTTTCTAAGTTCCTCTGCCTGGGCTATTTTGCCAGCTGCCAGTCATCACACCACTGGTGACACTGGCCATGGTGCACACCTAATAGGCTGACCTCCTTTCCCGACTAATTGCATTACATGGCCAGCTGGCTCCAGAAGGAGTCATCTGTTTGATTGAAGAATTCCTGCTTCTCAGTGAGCCCGGCTGCTACGTTTACTAAGTAACAGTCAGGCCTGACATCCCTATTGTTCAGCTGACAGTGTGCCCATCCTAAAATCCAAGTTTTATTTGTAAATTAACCAAGAAACTTCCTGCCAGAACAGTGCTGCCTGGAGACTGATAATGTGGGCCTTTCATCCCCTCTCACTTGTACTGTATCACTGCCAATTTGTTTTTTATGCTGCTGGCCAGCCTGAGGCTATAAAAGCCTTGTAAGACATAAGTGCAATTATAGTCCTGGAGTCAAATGAATTGGACAAATCCAATAGCAGAGCTCTGTCCCACTCTGCAAACCCTTACAGCAGTTAGATTAGCTGTGAAAAATCTAATCTAGCAAGAGTTAACAGATATCTGCAGAGAAGGATCAAGAGTTCAGTATGGGGTTCTAACCAGATTGCAGAATTGAAAAAGCACCTCCCCCGCCCCCAATGACAGGAACATAAGAAAGCATAAATCACTTTAGAATTTTGCAGCTCATTTTTAAGCTGTTAGGAACAATTTAGTAAGAATAAGGCAAGGAGTCATGGGTTGCTGTTACTGTGACTGATTTTTAGTCTAGCTGTGAGACATCCTGATAAAGAGAGTTTATCACTAATGATGCTAAATCTTGAAGCTGAAAAAGGTATCTCCTGAATTTTGATTATTACAGTAGGGGATCTTCCAATTAGGCCAGTTCTCAGAACATTATTTGTAGCATTATGTTTTAACAAGAAAATACATTTTCTAAAAAAAAAAAGGTGAAAGCTCTGCTTTCCTTAAGAATTAAAAAAAACCTTTACATATAAATATTTTACCAAAATTATTCTCATTAATAAGTAAATCCTATATACAATAGCAACAATTTACCAGGTGTTGTAAAGGAAAAAAAAAGACAAGAACCTAATTCAAGTAAGCTAGGGAGGGGCCTCAGCCTCAGAGAAACTGCCTTCCCTTGAGGTCTCCTCCTCCAATCTATGAAGAAATGGGAAAAAAGAGTCTAGAGTCTTAGTGATATCAAAGAGTCTCTGAGGTACAAGTGAATTCATTAAGGGCCTTCCCTAAGAGCAGAGCAACAGGGAAACCATGAAAACCCACCAAAATTTAGAGCTAGCTCCTCAAAGCCCTGTAGGAATGAGGGTCTGCAATACTTCTATTCACAGGAGGATATGATAACAGGTACTGCACTCTGCCTGATAATAGCAGAATCACGACAGTGAAGTCTCAGGCACTTGATTGCTGCTTCTGGAGTTATCTATGGTTGTGCTGTTTTGAGTTGTACATCACTACTATTACATACCATTGTTTAGGGTCAAGATACCTGCTCTGTACTGGCAAAAAGAAAGACTACAGAGAAAAGAATTGAGGCAAGGACAATAGAACCATTGGCCAATATAAATATCAATCAGCTAAAACGACAGGTGAAAAATAAACTGCCTTGTAGGCAATGATGATGGTTGATGGTTACAATGACCTTCCTAGGTACTGTGGTAGGCAATTTTACAGGTGTGTTCTAATTTACTTCAAACAACCCTGTGACATAGGCTGTGCTTTTTACCTCATTTGACAGATGAGGAAAAAGGGTACAGACTGGTTAACTAAATCGACATATAATAATTGAACCGAGGCTTGGATATTGCAACCACAACTACCCTCTCAAAAGCCAGTCTCAGCCTCTGAACGCCATCCTTCCTAATCCATTCAGTTGCTGTTCTCAGTTCTGTTCTAGGAAGAGCGGAGGTAATGAGTAAGGATTTGGAGCTTTGCCCCAGCCAAGTGAAAAGCCCAGCTGCCCTGGGACACTTCAAATTTGGGCCTTACAATACATCAGATTTCTAAGTTTCCTTGACTATCTAAAAGTTCTTAGTTATCAGCGGATAGTTACATGAGGTAAATGCCTCCCAGGTTGGATGTCTAGGGCTGTATGCTCCCCATGGTTTCATTAGGGAAAGAGGAGTTTTCCTTTGCATTCAAGAGAAAACTATACCTTGGCCCAAATTAAAGGAGGATTCATTAATGTCAGAGGTGATCCTGATGGGACAGTATCTCACTCACTTGTCACTTTAATACAAAAAAGATCCCTAAAAGAAAAAAAAAAAAAAACAACCCAAAACATTCCAAAACAAATTCATTGACCCACAGTGACCACACAGAACAGAGAAAGCCACCTGGAGGGTTTCCAAGACTATCACTCTTTCCCAAATCATCTATCTCCAACAAAGTGGCTGTTGGATTAAAACTATTTCTCTTTTCGTTGAAAGTCAAATGGTTTAAGCTCCTTTGTTAATTTGGTAAAACAAAACAAAACACCTTGTTGCTATTGAGTTGGAATGGACTCTTAGCTGATCCTCCAGTGGATTTTCAAAGGTTGTATATTGCATGGGAGGACACTGACCATCTTACTCTCTTAAAGAAAACAGTAGATTCAAGTCATCTGCCTTTGAGTTGGCATGGCAATTCTCTATGTACTAGGTAGGCTACCAGAGCTTCTGGTTACTTTGCCAGAAATAGATTGATAACATTTCATGAACTTTATCAATATGTTACACTAAAAATTGCTATCATCTATGAGGCAAAATTCATGCTATGGAAAATTTCCCTTCAAACAACAATTAAGAGCTTTCTTCTTCCGAGGCTTCAATCTCAGGATTTAACACCCAGATGAATCATTGTCTTTAATATATTTCTTTATGGAACAATTCCTTACCCACAGAGAGCCACCAGAACTCCCCTTTCCTTATGTTGTTGTTGTGTACTGCTGAACCAGAACCAACTCCTAGTGACCCTCCACTGGGTTTTCTGGGACAGTAAATTTCAAAGCAGATTACCCAGCCTATTCCCTTGAAGCAGCTTTTAAATTTGAACCGTGTGCCTTTGGAATGGCAGCACAGCACCGTACTACTGCCACCACAGCTCCCTTTGTGGACAAACTTGAGTTTTACAGATTAACCAAAAAAAGCAGACTGAGGAAGAAAGACGATGATTCTTAGTGCAGAGGAAATCAGTCTTACTGATGGCCTCCCTCCAGTTCCAGAAGAGCCCCACCTACAAATGAAGAACAGCCTTACCTTTTTGGTAAGTGAATCATCTGAGTTTGATGGCATCCTTGTGGAAACATGAAAAATCACTTCCACAGTTGAGGTAGCATAATAGGGGGCTGTCTGTCCTGTGCTGCCATTGCGCTGAAGACCACCCATAAAGCCACAGTGCGTAGAGAGATCCACCTGGTGAGAACGCAAAGGGGGAAAAAGAACAAAGAAAAAATGGACTGTTCTCAGTGTGAACTAAAGATGGTACTAAATAAAACGCTCAAGGAAGAAACACAGGGTGAATGAATTTTGTATGCAAAGCAATATAAAATACAAAAATATTGAGTTATTCTTATTCAGTAAGCAGTAGTATAGGTTAAAAATAATCATATTTTGAGGAGAGCAATGCAGACAATCTGATGTGCTGAGGATGAGAGACTTGCCAGCTTAACATCTGGGAATGGACATTCAGTCCCGCCAGACCAACCGCCCTGCGATTCACCTGCCCACCCCACGTGCCTTGCTATCACGTCCATGGCGCACCAGCCGGACATCTGCAACCTGACTGAAATACTCACAAGTGAACATCTGGAAGCCAGCCACACTGGCGCGAGCGGTACAGTTGCAACCTGAGTGAGGTCTCTGCGAGTCCCCAGAAGGGCAGGTAGCCCTATCAGGCACAAGAAGGACAGCTGCAAACTGAGTGAGGCCCTTGCCTGTGCCCATCCAGAAGCTAGCCCCGCCAGGCACCAGCCAGACATCTGCAACCTGAGTGAAGTCCTGCACATCCCCACCTGGGCAGGTAGCTTCCACTGTGGAAAGCTGGGCCACTTCAGTAGACAGTGTCACAGATGAGAGCCACAGATAGTCAAGGGAGTAGAGAGGAAGCTCCCATTCACTTGCTTTAAGTGTGGTTCTGAAGGACACTTGGCCATGGTGGCCCACATCAGGTCCTCGTGGCAGACAGGACTGACAGGCCACAGATCCCAGCTGGAAACAAAGGAGGACGCTTCAACAATTTAGATCCTCCCAGAAGAGATGTGGGTGAGCATTAACATTACTGATAAGTATACTCGTTTTCTTTTGGACACAGAGCCTACTAATTGGTCCTAAAAGCCTTCTGAGGTCCCAACTCTTCTCACTATT